ACAAAGGGGTTTTATAGGTTTGACTGAAATAATGCAATAACTGACACTTTAAATCAATGTTTCAAGAAACAACAACAAAAAAATTGAATTAAAAACAGATAAAGACAAAAAAAGTAGCCATTGATAGGTATAAATATAGGCACATATAAATGACACAAAGACACTAAGAAGAAGAAGAAGAATCTATCTTCCATTGCTTCTAGCTTGATTTTTAAAATTATTTTTATTTAATTAAATTAAAATAAATCAAATTCAATTGCTTTATGTAAACGTCAACAGGGTTCATATTAAATCATATATAATGCCATTTTGCTGCATTCAGTTCATCCATATTCGATGTATTAATCTCAGTACATTCCGCTGTCGCAGTGCAATTCCTCATATAGCATACACATTATTTATAACGCTAAATGTTTAACATCAATTTTATCAACGTAGATTCGAGTAAATCTTTCATTTTTAGGACGTTTTCAATATGGATCAAGTCGAAGACTAAAGGGACTTTGATCAAGTTTGGTCCCTCCAAGTCGCCGTACACGCGAAGGAAGTCGTAGCTCGGTTGCTAGGACAACATGGGTCAGCTTCGCTAGAACTATGTGCTATCCAAAGTAGATATCTGCTTTCATTAAATTAAATAAACCTCCTGATAACTGAAACCCCTGGTCAGTTACATTGGGAATGCAGGGACGATGAAATGGTATGTACGATTGTTTTGTGTTTGCTACATTATTGAAATGAAGATTTGATTTTTGGACATCAGACGCATCTGTGCGTTTCTTAGCGTTTTCCTTACAAATTCAGTTTTAAGTTTTTTTCATTGCATACTGTGTAATACTGATACTACTTCTAATAATATTAAATAATGTATAATAATAATAATGATGATAATGAACGGTCGTGAATATTTAAACGCACACTCTATACACACAAATTAAAATCGGTGTTCTGTCAGAATTTATGACATAAACCTCATCTTTCCCTAAACGTACATTACACGAGCTAGACTTTCTCAGCTCTGTTACTAAATCGCACAGATCAGAGCGTGATTTGATTGACTGTGTGGTTTCAGATGGGTGCTCCCAGTCCCAGCCTTAATACGCTGCTGTACATGTCTAATTTTATATAGTAATGTGTTTAGGGGCCATTTGTAATATTTCATAAGTTCATAGGGATTAGAAACCTACCGAGGTGTGACAAAATCCATTTGAAAACTCCTAAGATGTTTATTTATGAAAAATACAAAACAATGCTCTTTTTGTCCAGAAGCTGTACTGATAAGTAGTGAAATACAGTGATGTTTCCATCCCCCCTGTCAGGCTGTTCCTGTGTGGGCTCTTTCCCTCCCGCTGCCTGCCATCCTCATGATCACTGTGGGGCTCTATATGATTTTCCTTGCGGCTGTGCTGTGGTGTCATCACTGTCTCAAGGTACTTCAGCATCATTCCTCTTTCTGAGGAAACTTTATCAAACTTTTCTGTGAGCCAAATTCAAATAGAACAATCTTCTAGAATCAATACCTATGGCTGTTGCTATACAGTAGTCTGTCTGCCTGATTTGTCACAGCTTCCTTGTTCTGAAAGGCAGTTTAAATCTCACTTCCCACTGTTCTCACTTCTCTCTTTTGGGTCGTTTTTGCATTGTGTAACAGCTCTCTGACTTTGCAGGCCAAGTGTGATCCTCGGTGTTCAGATTGCTGCGCAGGTTTCTCTCCTTGTGAGTACTGTTTAGTGTGTGCCCAGTCATGTGACTGCCGTGCACCATCTCTGCAATCCTGTCTGGACTATTCCTGCCCCTCCCCTAATGTAAGTCACACATTGATTGTCTATTCCTGTTTTAAGCTGAATACACTCTGTATGCCACAGTTTTTCCACGTATGACTGAAGTCTTTGATCCCATGGTGTGATATACTCTACAATAAGATTTCGTTTGTTAACATTAGTTAATGCATAAGTTAACATGAACTATGAGAATTATATTATTATCATTTTTTTACCTTTGTTAATGTTAGTTAATACAAATACAATTGTTCATTCTTTGTTCTCGGTTAGTTCACATTGCATTTATGTTAATAGATAAAACTGTTGATTTATATAATAACATTAACTCAAATGAATAAATGCTGTAGAAGATGTTAACTATAGAACATTTATTGTAAAGCGTTACCAATGCCCAATGTTGGGGAAAGTTACTTTTAAAAGTAATGCATTACAATGTTACGTTACTCCATTAAAAAAAATAAAAATGTTATTGTGTTAGTTACTTTTTATGGAAAGTAATGCATTACATTACTTTTGCGTTACTTTTTGCCACCTGGGTTGGACTTGCTGATTAGTTTTTTTTATAACAGAAATCTCAAAAGTTATGTTTTTGTCAACTGTAAGGGCCTTTTTACACCAAAAGTGAAATTAATAAGCCTCTGGCAAAAGGAAGTGCCTCTGGTCTGCGGTTTCTCTCAACACAGGGACAGGAGAGGTGTCCGTGAATAAATGGGAAAACAAAGTAACCTGCGTTACTTATTTGAAAAAGTAACTCCGATATTTTGTTGTAAATTTAAAAGTAATGTGTTACTTTACTAGTTACTTAAAAGGTAAACTGATTACATAATTTGTGTTACTTGTTATGTGTTACCCCCAAGACTGCCTTTGTAACTAATCTTAACATTATGATGATATTATCAAATAACTTTATTATCAAAGAACTCGAGTGTTTTTGCTTTTTCTAAATAATAAACAGTTCACAAAATCCTGCCTATCCATGCCTATAAATATGAATAGAACTGGTATAAACCTGTTTTTCTTGATCTTGTTTAATGTAGTGTGCGATGTGGGATTGTGCCTGTACCTGTCAGCCTCCAGAGTGTGACTCCATCAACTGCTTCTGCTTTGAGATCAAGTTTAAGTAGAAGGGTGGATGGGAAGAAAAAAAACCTCCTCATTTTAAAAGATGCCTTAGAAGCTCCAACTCCAAGTGACACTTAAGTATGTTTTAAGCTCTAGAGAAATTGTGATTCAGTCTTTGGCTGTTCTGTAACGTTTGCATAATTTCGGAGACATTACCGCATCCTTCCTATTTATGATCATTGATTTAACTAAAATAAAGATTAAGATGTGCATCTATTGGGAATATACACTGAAAAAAAAAAAGTTATTTATTTTTCATTGGCTCAAGTTAAAAAATATAGATGTGAATCATTACCCTAAATTGTTTTAATTGGATGAATGAAAAAAAAAAATTCAGTGTACATTGTTTAATTGAATCATGTATGACTATTTTTCTCATGCTTAATAAAACAGCATAAATATTATAATATTATGGACATATTGCATTCATATCGGGATGAATGAGATCATTCATACCAGGTTTCCAAACAGCTGTAATTCCTGAAGTACACAAGCATTACAGAACAATAAGACTGAGGTGAAAGTAAAGGTTTTATTTTGATGAATTTGAAGCATATGGCTTTAAGAAGTGCCATGGACTTTTAAAACATTACGTTCAGCCGATTTTTACATTTTAAGCACAAAAAGTCCTATTAACTTATTGTGACTTATTACATTTATGTACTTTTTTGTTGTTTATTTTTTTCTAGTTTTCCAGTCAGCAATAATAGCCAGTGTGTTTCTCTTTGGCATCGATGTGTTTGGACATTTGTAAGATGGACATTTGTGCTTCATACAAAGAGAAGTTAGGAATCTATAAACCATATATGCTGTTCAGTGTATCTCATTCTGACAGAGATATATGCTCACCTATATTTATATGAGATACACTTTTATATACATATAGTTCTGACTGACCATTTTCAGATGACATTTTTGATTAGATTTCTTTTGTGATATACTATAATACTGTAAAAGTGTAACAAAAGCTATTTCCTATTTTTACCGATCTAATTGTTTACAGGGCATCATCTCGGTGTTACATAAGAAATATGATCTAACTATGTGTGCGTATTATATTATGTGAAATGTGATACAGTAATGTATGTGGCCATATTTTGAATGCTTACAGCCAACACTCTATGGCTTACAAAGTAAACCTGGGGCCGGTTGCATAAACTGTTTAGACTAGTCTTAAAAAGTTAGTTTTTCTTTAAGACAAAAAAGGTAGATTGGTCTTATTTGTAGTGGAAAGGTAAGACTGATTTCCCCTTTGCAACTGCTAGTTGGTCAAACTAGTTCTTAAGACACAGTCTTAACATGGTGACTAAGTTTATGCAACTGGCCCGAGACTCAGTCACTTCTTATTGATGGTCCCTCTGTTGCCTGGCAAAACTCTTTATTTTATTTTATTGTTATTGTTATTTTTTTTATAAATATGTGCTATTTTTTGTAAATGGGCTATTTTTTAAATGAATTAAAGTTTTATGAGGCTTTGTTTACTGCAAAATTATTATCTGTCGAGCATTGGTGGTGAGATATTAAAAAATTCACTTTAGATTCTTTGTTGGATTGTCCTGGATTTTCTGCTTTGTTTATGAAGCATGCAATTTTTTAAATGTTCAATTTATTTGTTGGAGGTTTCTACACTTTTCTATAAAGGCTTTCTATTTTCTATTTTCATGTAGCTCTTGCTGATTACAGCGATTATGTAGAGAAGATGTTTGAGAGATGAAAGGTCATGACAGAAGATCTCATGACAGTAGATCCCTTTTCTGATGGCACTAATCTCATAGATAGAGTCATGGAGTAACATCAGAGAACATCATGCAGAAGTTTCATTGCAGTCATCTGTAGACCACCAGCCCCCCTTTGCATAATTTTTTAATAGGGATTGCATTAATGCATGCTGTAATTCATGCATGTAGCAACAACATTAATAATCATATACCATGTCTATGCCACTCACAGCCTTTCTCTTTAACCTTTCTTTGCTGCATGCCAGTGTGCATGAATGTCACATCGCCCTTCTCCGGTTGCATCGTGGGTTAGCCTGCTACTAAGATTAGCCAAACCCACGGAATGTCAAAGGTCACTTCGTCCGAATAAATACAGGTCATCTCGCACTAGACAGATGTCACAGACTATCCAGACCTCCTCTGCCTTCATTTGGGGAGTATCTCTTGCTCACTTCATCCAAAAACACGGTAAAAATGTGCATGTTCTTTTCTTTTATTCTGTAGTACAAACATGTAAATAGCAGAAATACGGTACTTGTGTACTATATTATATGATTATTTTATTTTGTAGGCTTTACTTTTTTATTTGCTTTTATTTAAAGGCATTTGCTCAAATTATTTTCTACTGTTGCACGATTTTGTTTTTATTTCAAATATTAATATTATTTATACTACTACTACTAATAATAATAATTATTATTATTGTGGAAATAATAATAATAATTGTTTTAAAAATAATATACAATAATAATTATTATTGTTTTAAAAAATACATTCATAATTTAGCCAGTGACTGAAGTATTCAATCAAGAAATCATTCATAATTCTTAATTCTCTAAATAACTGTCTTGCTGAAATTTATAATACAAAATACTGATCAACAGAATTATTATTTTTTTAAATCATGAATTATGTTAACTAGCTTTACTGACTTTGCTTGGCATTCAACATTCCAAAGAGCCTTTTTAAGACCCCTTTTCACAAATCACAACCTGCTGTATAATGCTCAGCTGTACCACTGGCTATATATATATATATATATATATATATATATATATAAAACGCTGACATCCAAGTAAAACGAACATCTGAACGATGCTAGCTTTTCGCTAACGTTAGTCTCTTCAGTTTTCATGCAAAAATAACAGTTACGTGAGCCGCACAAGGTCATACGTGTTTGTATCTCAAGGACATGTGCATCCAAACTCGTCGAGAACTAGCTGACAAAAAGGTGGTTAGAAGAAAGAAAAATCCGTGCTTTTAGTTAGGTTTACGAGTTAAGTACACACCCATATCTGAACCCTTGCTCAGACTCTTTGGTGTTGATTTAACGCTCACCTGATTCATTACTTGGTCTTAGGGGAATGTTTTTGTAATGTGATTCATGTGTTTGTACTGGTACTCTGAATAATTTAATCTCAGAGATCATATAAATGTCTCTCTGTCTCCCACACCTTCCTCCACAGAGTCAAGATGCCTCACGCTTACCCATTCCTCACTCCAGAGCAGAAGAAGGAGCTGAGCGATATTGCTCAGAGGATTGTCGCCCCTGGCAAAGGCATTCTTGCTGCGGATGAGTCTACAGGTACTTTAAGCCATTCGGTTTGTGTTTGTTAATAACCTATTCTAAGGCCCTTCTAATCTTTCATCTCGAATCTTTGTTCTTGTGCAGGTAGCGTGGCCAAGCGGTTCCAGAGCATCAATGCCGAGAACACGGAGGAGAACAGGAGACTGTACCGCCAGCTTCTGTTCACCGCAGACGACCGCGTCAAGCCCTGCATCGGTGGCGTCATCCTCTTCCACGAGACCCTCTACCAGAAGACAGATGATGGCAAACTCTTCTCCCAGCTCCTTAAGGAGAGGGGCATGGTAGTTGGCATCAAAGTGGACAAGGGTGTGGTTCCCCTGGCTGGCACTAATGGAGAGACCACCACACAAGGTGAAAATCCCATCGCTATCTATAAAATAGGTTATCGGGTAGTAAAAGTACACATGGTATTTTATAACCTTTCGTATCCACTTAAATGCTGGAATTAGATGGACTTTGTCCAAAACTGAATGGTCACAGTCACTTGCTCATGACTCATTAAATGCTCATTTGCCTCTGCGTTCGCAGGTCTGGATGGGCTGTACGAGCGCTGCGCTCAGTACAAGAAAGACGGGGCAGACTTTGCTAAATGGAGGTGTGTGCTGAAGATCACCCCCACAACCCCCTCAAGACTGGCCATCATTGAGAACGCCAATGTGCTCGCCCGTTACGCTAGCATCTGCCAGATGGTGAGACACTTACAGCTATATATCCATGTGTTTTTTAATGAATGTTTTTATTCAGCATAGATGCATTCAATTGATCAAAAGTGACAGTAAAGACATTTATAATATTCAAAAAAGATTTTTATTTCAAATAAATGCTGTTCTTTTGAAATTTCTGTTCAAAGAATACTGGAAAAAAGGACCGTTTCCATTAAAAAATATTAACCATCACAACTGCTTTCAACACTGATAATAATCAGAAATGTTTCTTGAGCAGCAAATTAGCATATTAGAAAGACTTCTGAAGGATCATGTGACTCTGAAGACTGCGGTATTGATGCTGAAAATTCAGCTGTGCCATCACAGAAATAAATTACATTTTAATATATGTTAAAATAGAAAAGTTATTTTAAATGCTAATAATATTTTACAATATCCTGTACTTTTGATCAAATAAATGCAGCCTTGTTGAACATGAGACTTCTGTCAAAAACATAAAAAAATTGTACCCACCCCAAACCTTTCAATTGTATTGAATAATAAAATAATTAATTATACAGTAATTCATGATTATTATATTAAGTTTTATATTTTAGTGCTGTCAAACGATTAATCGCATCCAAAATAAAAAAAATGTGTATACATAATATATGTATGTGTGCTGTGTAAATTTATTATGTGTACACACACATGCATGTATCCATTTCAGAAAAATGTTATGTTAATATATTTATTTATAATATAAATTTAGACGTAAATATTTTCAAAATGTATACTGTATGTGTGTGTTTTTATTTATTTATATATATTTACACACACAGAACACACGCATATATTATGTAAACAAAAACTTTTATTTTGTGTGCGATTAATCGTTTGATAGCACTAATTAATTTGTAATAAAAATAATTTCATCCTCTTTCTCCTCAGCATGGCATTGTGCCCATCGTGGAGCCTGAGATTCTGCCTGATGGTGACCATGACCTGAAGAGGTGCCAGTATGTGACCGAGAAGGTTCTGGCTGCCATGTACAAGGCCCTGTCAGACCACCATGTGTACTTGGAGGGCACTCTGCTCAAACCCAACATGGTGACCGCCGGGCATTCATGTTCCCAGAAGAACACCCCTCAGGAGGTCGCCATGGCCACTGTCACAGCTCTTCGCCGCACCGTTCCTCCCGCTGTGCCTGGTTAGTAAAGTGAACGCAATTACTCACTCAGTCATGGCAGAGTCTTTATCTTATCACAGGCCTGCTTGATAAATTCTTAAGCATGTAATTATCATCACCTCATACCACACCCCTTTCTCGATGTAGGTGTCACCTTCCTGTCTGGAGGCCAGAGTGAGGAGGAGGCCTCACTCAACCTGAATGCCATTAACCAGTGTCCCCTGAGCAAGCCCTGGGCCCTGACCTTCTCCTATGGTCGTGCACTGCAGGCCTCTGCCCTCAAAGCCTGGGGTGGCAAGAAGGAGAATGGCAAGGCCTGCCAGGAGGAGCTCGTAAAGAGAGCTCTTGTAAGTTTTATTAACTTGGGATCATCTACTGGATACTGATCTGGTTATATGAAAATCCTAGTTTTGTAACCAGATTTTCTCTAATTGCAGTACAAACAAAAAATCTGGCATGTTTTTTTTTTTTTTCTAATTATAATTAATGTTCTTTTATTTATTATAAATGGTGTATGTATACATATAAATTAATTTTTAATTTATCATGTCTGTATGTTATACTATATTTTATATAAACATTTATTTTTATTTTTGCTTATTACATAGAATATATATATAGAGATTTTTTTTTTTTTTTTTAGATTCTTGATTGTAAGACATGGAGTAATTTGTTCAGGAGGGATTAGCATTTCATATGTGAACATTTTAAAACAACTGTTTGGTCTTGTGTTTCTATCTCCAGAACAACAGCCTGGCCTGTGTTGGGAAGTATGTGTCCGCAGGAGATAAGGGTTCTGCTGCTGGAGAGTCTCTCTTTGTGGCCAACCATGCCTACTAATCACCAGGAAGCCTTTTCCATTTCAATCCTCATCATATTCCTAAAGAATCAATGAACCCCAACGCATCTATACTCTGAACTCATCATTTGACCCATTCCCTTTTTCTTTCTAGTGCTTGTTACTTTTCCATGTGTGAAAACAAAACCATGAAACTAAGAGATCATACGTTTTTGCCCTAATCTCCTCCCTCTTCAATTATGTATTGTAATGTTTACCTCTTTAGAGAAACGTTGCTCTTGTTCTTGTAGTACTTATAACTGTATTTGACTTGCACAAAGCACATATACCCTTCAGGGGTATATTATTGTTGTTACTGTTTAATATGGTACACACTGGGGAAAAAAAAAAACATTAAAGTATCTTTCACTGCTAACCTAATTTGTTTTTTTCATGCTGTTATACAGACAACACATCATTGTGAGGTTTTGTGTTGGAACATTTCTCTGAATATTTGTCTATTCATCTTTATGAACCAACCCAGATGCAAGAATGTCAATTTATAGGATGATTATCATCCTGAGACGAATCTCTGCTGCTTTACAATTTTCAATTGCAAGCTTTATCAGTAAGCTGTTTTGTAATTGTCAAGGATGCTTGAGAAACTCTGCTTTCTGAAATATCTATAAATAGTTTCAAACAAATAGTTCAGGACAAATATTAAACTGGCGAAAACATGAGATTTCAGCGAATGAGACTAAGTTACAGCACACTGATTTAAACCTTTCACACTTTCTCAACACCCTGTAGACATTATCTAGTATTTAAATGTTTTTGGCTCAGTTTATTGGCAGCAGATGTATGGCCTGAGTTCATGACAAGGAGCTCATAATGGTTTCAGAAGTGACATTACTTGCAGAATCCTTCATGTCAGTGTAATGCATGAAAACTCCACAAGGAAACATGCAATATAAATATATTTTATTACAAAATAAATTCATAATTTTTCTAAATCAAGTAAATCTGCAAGAATCTTTCACTTCTATATTTTCTTGTAAATTAATAAATTTAGAACATTTGTAAGAATTTAGTAAATTCTTAGAAATCAAAGAAATGTTTATTGAAAATCTTTTACAACTTTAGACAAAATTCTTATAAATGAGAAAAATTCTAAGTGTTCTTGTAAAATCTTCGTTTCTAAAGTTTCTAGGGCCTAAGCGAAAGGATGGAAAGGCCACTCATGTCAACCCACCAGATGCAAAGCTGACTGAAGTTAGAAACAGCAAGGTGTTTTCCACGTCTTACTCCATAACCTGAAATAAAAACAGAAGTCATTGTTATTCATCGAAATACATTACATTAAGAGCAAATCTGACATGGTGGGGAAAAAAAAAAAAAAAGATTGATTATATATATATATATATATATATATATATACACACACACATAAAAAAAAAAAAGCTAATCTTAGACTTAAATTAGTCCTGTTCTCCAGCGGTTCCTCAACAACTGGGAGCACTTCATAGGCTGGAGCTTCTTAAAGAGCATTAGTCTATAATGTGTGATTTTCTTAAATTCAAGAAAATGTGTAAGTAAATGTGACAGGTGGTTTTTCCATGTCTTAATCCATGACCTGAAACAAAAACATAAATCAGTGTTATTCAATAAAATACATTACATTTAGAGCAAATCTGGCTTCTGTAAAAAGATTTTTTAAAAAAAAATAAAAAAACATTTAGCGAATCCTAGACCCAGCAGTTGGGTTCAAAACAACCCAAACGCTGGGTTTGTCCCTTTTTAACCCAGCATTTTTTAGAGTGTACCATGGAAGGCCATATGGTCAGAGTCCTTCACAGGTGCACCGCACCCGAAATCAATTAATTTGACTTTCATGGTGTCCTGGTTGATGAGCAGGTTCTCTAGTTTTATATCACAATGGAAGACGCCACGCTCGCAGCAAACATTGGCAGCATTAAATCACCTGGCACATAACATTTCGTGCCGTCCCCTCATCAAGGCTTCCACCATGGAGCTCCACGAACAAAACAAATCCATGCAGGGCATGGGGCACTCCAAGGCCATAATATAGTGGTCTGTGTCATCGTGCCAGTCCAGTGGTTTAATGATCTGTGGGATGCTGGGGCCCATTGTCACAAATCCAGTCCATGGCCTTCTGGCAGATTGCTAGTTGAGGTCACTCTACCATTACATTGACTCTCACACTACACAGACTGTTACATGTCACTCCGGACAAGGAAAACCAAGACACACTGCTCGGTAAGGCAGCGAACACTAGGGGGAGTGAAAAACGCTAGACAATACTCTACAATCTGAACAGGAACTGAGTGGGTGTTAAATAGAGTGAATAATGGCTCTCAGGTGAGCGTGTGATTAGTGAAGGCTGTGTGATCAGTGAATTCAGCTGTGTAAGTGCAATGGATGATGGGAACTGTAGTCCGGAGTGACACGTAACAGTCTGTGTAGTGTAAGAGTCAATGTAATGGTAGAGTGAGCTCTACTGGCAATCGGCCGGAAGGCCACGGACCGGATTCGTGACACCCATATTGGCCATAAATGTCAGGTTGATCTCCATGGGGAGGCATTTGGGATGACCAGGCTAAAAGAAAGAAAATATCACGATAATATTGAGGTGGTTTCACAAAACAGATCGACTATTGAGAAATTATTTGTAGTCTGTGATTAACATGAAGATAAGATTTCATAAATTGAAAACAGTGACTGAGAAACTAAAAGATGCAATAATACTCACAACTGGGATGTAGGCCTATGGCATGTGTGGTGTCTTCTCAGCATATATCATAGCCACCTAATCATGTGCATAGAGCTTATATTACTCCAGTTATGAATCCTGAACAGATATGCAAAGTTTTGGAAGTAAAAAGAAGGGTAAGTAAAATAAAAGGAAAGCTTAAATCCATCTTTGCAGCAAGCCCCTGCATGCACAAAGCCAAATACTCCTTCTCCCAGCTTGTAGCCAATTTCATAACGCCAACAGATGTGTCCTAACAAAAGAAACAACTGTAGTTAGCATAAAAATACATGTCACTAAAATGTATTATTATGAAATGATGAAATGTTGATCAGGAGCAAAATACATTTTAGTTAAAAGATACCAATTGTGAACAAGAAAACTTTAAAAATTAACTTGGAAATTAGGCTTTATTCTGGTCATTTGAGGTCAGGGGTGTTCAGTCCTGGTCCTGGAGGGTCACCATCCTGCAGAGTTTAGGTCCAAGCTAAAAGCACCTGAAGCAACTCAAAGTTTCCCAGATAACACAGCTCTGCCCCCTGTTGTCTAAAGCAGGTGTCTTCAACGTTTTTCAGGGGCCTCTTAGGTGACAGAGACATGGAGCAAGGACCCCCAATACAAAATGTGTCAAGCAGAGCTACATATTAAACATACAGCCTTAGATATTAATAGAAACTAATCATATTATGATTAAGAATAAATTATGTTATACTATGTGTATATTATGTTAAGACAGTAGATCAGGACTATCCACATTATTATTGTTGCACATGTATCACTGCCTGTATATTACTTTTCTTTTTTTTAATTGAGACATTACAAATAATTGGAATGATGGAATTAAAAAAAACACTTTGATGCGAATATTTTTCTATTAATCTTAATAGTTTGCATTTAGATTGTGCATATCTATTTTGACATGCCATATTTTTGTCCAAGTATTACTTTGTGCAAGTATCATCTATTGCATCTTCAGAGTGAATCACGCATTTAGATGTCACTTCCAAAGACCGCTCACTTTACAATCACTAAAAAGCTGTCACTCATCTTAGTTCACGATCTCAGAACGTTCTATTAAAATCAATAAAGGTTTCTACACTGCATAATGAATCTCTTATTTACGTCGTGTCGTTGTTTGAGAGACGATTGGCAAGAGCGAGCTTAAAGGGGTCATATGATGCGATTTCAATTTTCCTTTCTCTTTGGAGTGTTACAAGCTCTTGGTGCATACAGAAGATCTGTAAAGTTGCAAAGACTAAAGTCTCAAATCCAAAGAGATATTCAAAAGTTAAGAGTCCGCCACACCTACCTAAAACGGCTCGTTCTAACACGCCCCCACATACCTACATCACTATGTGGGAAGATTTGCATAACGCCGCCCAAATGTTCAGGCAAAGAAAGAAGGCATAACTTTTATTCTCGTATTTATTATTATATTATTTATTCTAGTATTGTTGTTGCCACCGCCATGTCGTGAAGGCACTGTGTGTTTCGTTGTGAAAGCGAAACTACTTTGCTTGGCCTTCCAAAAGAGGACACGACTAGAAATCAGTGGTTAAGTTGTATTTACAACACTGTTCCAGAACACTTCAACCCAAATATTCAGATGTGTGCAGCACATTTTATGGAGGACTGTCTCCTGATCCTGGGAGAGTGGACTACAATTCCGGCTGTTCTGACTCACAGACTTTAAGTACGTTTTTTATATTTAAAGAATTTGCCACTGATGATTCAAACGTGAGTTTGTAGCAGTGTAGAGTAGGGCTTGTTGTTTGTCATTTCTCCGATCACAAATGCAGACATGGTTTTATGTTTACACGGCTCGATGCAACGTGTAAAAAGACAGTGTAAGTCATTATAATCCATAATTATGTCCCCACTGGATGCAACAAATGCCTCGTTTGTAATGGGTTTTAATGTTTTTGTCTCGTCGCTCCGGCCGGACAAGGCATCACAGTATGGTGAGGGGCGTAACATTTCCGTCACACGCTTGAGGTATTCGGCCAATCACAACACACTGGATAGCTGGCCAATCACAGCACACCTCACTTTTCAGACCGATGAGCTTTGTAAAAATCTTTTTTTTGATCCTTAAACCGCATAAACACATTTAATTACACAAAATACACAAAATAATGTTCTTTTTAGCAACATCATATGACCCCTTTAACTCATCACCGAGCAGAAACTCCGGCATTTTGAGCGGTGAGGGGATTCTAACTTAAATACCTCTGATTGGTCATTGCATTCAAGAGATCATCAAACATGTCTGTTATTGGCTACATTTCTCACAGCTGTAAAAAAAAAAAAAAAAAAAAACAGAACTCAATCTCTAAAACGCAATGAGTGTTTTCTAAACCTGTTTCGCCAATAGTATCATATTACAATATCAACTGAGGGTGCGCCTGCTTTCGTTTTGGGGTGCTTATATTTAAAATGGGCTTTTTTATGTTTTTTACTCATGTTTTAATTTTTGTAACAAACATTTTTTTGTGATTAAACATGAATTTGCCGACCCCTGGTTGAAGACAGGGATACAAAAGCCAAATCAACCTGATGCATTTCTGAATACTGGCCAGCAGATAGAGTCAGTGATGTTGATAATAGAAATGGGCAGAAGTGTTTAGTTAGGTGTCTTGTGTGTTCACTAATGGGCTTAACAATGCTAAAAAAAATTAAAAAATTCACATGGTGCAAATATTCTTATTACTATAGTATATTCTATATTAATATTATTTAGTACTATGAATAGTTGGGTAAACGTCTATGGTGGTGAATGGGACATTACAGCAAAAATGATTTTTGCATTCCCATTTGCTCCAACAGTAAAACAAAAACATTCATGATAGCGTTTACACAACTTTCCCAGTCAACTTTCTTTGTCACTCTCTCAGCTTTTGTATTAGAAACACCCTTGCTGCAGTGTTAACTATAACTAGTTATTATTATTATTACTACTATTGTTATTTAATGCCTAAAGGCTATGCAACACAAAGTATGATTTAAAAAATGAAAATATAAAAGACTTGGCCAGATTTAGAATGTTACAAAAACTGTGGGAATGCACCAAAAGAGTCCATATATAGCACCAGCTAATTTTTTTTTTAACTGACTAAAAACTGTGGGTTACTCCTGTGACTTTTTTTGTGCTGATGTTTTCTCTGTTTCAGTGATATCTGACATCTTTCCTGTAGAAAACAAGAAGTCAGGGTTTAGAATGGCATGGTTAGGCCCTGCTGGTAGGTGTCAAACATCATCTGGCTGCAAGTATCAGCCAGTTCATTAACTAGTTATTATTATTATTACTACTATTGTTATTTAATGCCTAAAGGCTATGCAACACAAAGTATGATTTAAAAAATGAAAATATAAAAGACTTGGCCAGATTTAGAATGTTACAAAAACTGTGGGAATGCACCAAAAGAGTCCATATATAGCACCAGCTAATTTTTTTTTAAACTGACTAAAAACTGTGGGTTACTCCTGTGACTTTTTTTGTGCTGATGTTTTCTCTGTTTCAGTGATATCTGACATCTTTCCTGTAGAAAACAAGAAGTCAGGGTTTAGAATGGCATGGTTAGGCCCTGCTGGTAGGTGTCAAACATCATCTGGCTGCAAGTATCAGCCAGTTCACTAATTGCTTTTGTTTTTGCATTCATAGAAATATATGAAATTAAATTGACTTTTTTTGTTGCTGTTGCATTGATGTCACAACTCAGGGTAGTGAAGGCCTTGTGACTGTGGCACATTTTGTGGTGCTACCAGACAGAAACATTGTCAGCAGGTCGTGACATTACTTTCCACAGCTTTTACAGATGATAACATAAGCAAATATGACACATTTCTAATCATATACCTTTAAACTGATCGCTCTCTCCAGTTATTATAGACCTTCTTGCCATAAATGTACTAGATGTGATTATGATTTTAATAGATATAGGCTATTTACAAGTCTCTGTTGGCTGCAGAGCTTTTTCTTGTAACAAGAATTGCCCAATATATTTGTATTTACATAACATTATATGATTTAAAGCAATGCAAAATAAACGGAATAAGATTAACTAAGATCCCTTGTGTTTCCACTTTCATTTCTGTTTATTAAACATAAATGCTTGCCAGTACATTCACCAGTACACTTTCAGTTCAACTAATTGCATGTCATATACTTGTAAACTACAATACAGTTTCATTTAATTCAATTCTGAAAACATTACACCCGCAAGTATATGTTTTTAGGTATATTATTTCCATATGTACTCTTTTCAAGAGTGTGCTAAAGTGTACTTCTTTTTCGCAAAAATGGACTACTCAAGTGTTTCTTGATTTGTTCTTTCCCTAGACCCCTGCTCCAAATGGGACTAGCATAGAGATCAGCAACAGCAGCCGCTATGACTGCAATGCTGTGTCCACTGCAGTAAGTCTGTCTGTCTTTCTTTTTCTCTTTGGTTTTTTGTTTCACCTGTACAGACTTGTCCCACATTTAAGTGTAAGTTTAAATATTTGTTCATGGAGTGACACCTTGTTTTCTTTCGGTTTCTAGGCTGTGCTGTTGGCTGATATCTTACCCACCCTCCTAATCAAATTCACAGCACCTTTCTATATACACAAAGTGCCTTATGGGTAAAGTTGGCCAGCACTTCTTTATCTGAGATCTAATTGCAAACATCCATCAGCATCTTGAAACAGGTTTAGCTGGTTAGATCAAATGATGTAATACTGTGATAAGAGATGAATTGGCAACTTTGAATAGTTGTGTCAAAAGAGACGAGGTCTGATTTAGTTTGTTGCCCTTTACAGTGTGGAACACAACAGAAGAGCTACTCCTTTATTATTAATAATGTGCTATTTAATAATAATTGTGTTTTCATTTTCCTTTCACAATGAACAGATTCCGTGTTTTGGTGTGTTTCTTTACAGCAGTGGTCAGCTTCCTGATGGTGTCGTTCTCCTCAACTATATTGATGAGTATATTTGGTAATGAGCATGTGTGTGCATTCGTCTTCTGAGCTGGATTAATGAGATTTGATGAATGTTGTAATGAATCTTTGGATTTTTCCTCAGGTGTCGTCTTTGCCAGTATTAGTTCAGGATTGGGGGAGCTTTCCTTTCTCTCCCTCTCTGTGTTTTTCAGCAGGTAAAGCCTCCTAGAAACCCATTCATTTAAGATGTGTTTAGAATAGGATACTAATTATTAATTGTACCTGCACAGTATGCACTGTTTTTGAAAACATTATGTGAAAGTGAAAGACGTCATTATGCGCACGTTCAGGTGTTATCTGTGGTAATTACAGCAGTTATTTTTTTATTTTGCACCCACAAACAAACTTCAGTCTGACTGAATAATGAGATATAATAAAGTTTCAGTTATGCTATAAAAATAGAAGGTTTAATTTAATGCCTTGCACTGTGTGCAATATTTTTCTAGTTTGCTTTGATGAATACTCACATTTTGTGAAATGTAGGCATTTTATGTGCACATTATACTGTGCACAGTATGCACTACTGGTCTGTAAGATTCTTTAATTAATGATTTTACTCTGCAAGGATGCATTAAATTGATCAAAAGTGGCAGTAAAGACATTTACTGTATAATGTTACAACACATTTCTAAATGAGGAATTGAATATGTCCCAAACTAACATTTCTAAACTAAATGATGTTCTTTTGAACTTTCTATTCACCAAAAAAAAAAATCAAAAATCAGCATATTAGAATGATTTCTGAAAGATCATGTGACACTGCTGTATAATGGCTGCTGAAAATTAAGGTTTATCATCACAGGAATAAATTACATTTAAGATATATTCAAACAGAAAACTGATATTTTAAATTGGAATAATATTTTGTAACAAATGCAATGATAATAATAATATTGTACAATTTTTACTATATATTTTGATCAAATAAATGCAGCCTTTATGAGAATAAGAGACTTCTTTCAAAAACATTTAAAAAGCTCTAGTCGCTGATCTCTCTTTTTACTTGCTGTTGTTTATCAATACTTTGCATCTGTGTTTCTGTCTCTCTAAGGGATGTGTTAAGTGGCTGGGGGTCTGGCACGGGGGCAGCAGGAGTAGCTGGAGCTTCCCTCTACTCTGCATTTACACAGGCTGGTCTGACCCCACAAGTTACGTTATGGATCATGCTGGTTGTGCCTGTTATTTTGGCTGTCAGGTCAGCAGAACTTTCTCAACTCCCTGGGGTTGCACCTGTTAAGAAGATTCACAGCATAAATGTATCTTTTCCTCTTATGATTTCTTTCAGCTATTTCTTTCTCCTGGTGTTCCCATCCTCATTTCCACAGTGGAGGCGGCACGAGGATGGTCACAGTACTTCCAGAGTGGTAAACTCCGAGGAGAGGGGTCCTTTAATTGAGGAAGAGACCGATACTGAGACAACTCAGGAAGAGCAAGGTGTGTACAGTTAGGAACTCATTGCTTGCATTGTTGCAACTTGGGTTACACTTTATTTTGATAGTCCACTTTAGACATTCTACTAACTATAAGTAACTATGCAACTACATGTCTACTAACTCTCAGAGTAAACTGTTACGTTTAGGGTTAGTAGAATAAGTTGACATATACTTGCAAAGTTTTTCATAGTCAGTGTGTTGTATCTTGTGGACCCATCAAAATAAAGTGTTAGAAGATAATAAGCATACTCTAATGACTGCTAGTTGACATGTAGCTGCAAAGTCACTTACTGTTCGTTGAATGTCTAAAGTGGACTATCAAAATAAAGTGTTAACGCAACTTTTCATGCTCATGATGTGTATGATAATCCATTCAGATGACTGGCCATGCTTTCTTTCTTTCTGACAGAGGACAAGCACATCAGACCCCTGTCCTTCACTGACAAAATATATATCATGAAGGTAAGACCTACTTTGTACCTGTATATGGTCCTTAGTTTGGTATTTCTTGTCTGCTTAAATTACATTGCGTCTGCTTTTAATATATAATGGAATTTAAAGTTCCACTAAGCAATTTTTGCTTGATTATCATTATTGCTTGAGCTATTACTTATTTATTCACAGACATTGTGCACCTATCTGTATGAATACAGTGCATTGTTTTCATTACCGATGCTATTTTAGCATTACATTTTTGACATGACATGCATATTTGTCACATGATTATTTTTTTCTCCCAAAATGATCATTACTATAAAAGTAGCATAATTGTATAGAGTTACTGAGATAATATGTGTAATATTCAGTTAGTCATCTGATATTAGTTTCCTAAAATACCTGTTTTCTAGGCCACTGAACACCAGAAATGCTGGTCACTTCTTCCAGTGTTACTCTTTTTTTTTTTTTATTACTTGTTGCGCATTTAAAGTGTGAACATAGCTTGTGTGTGTCATGTAGGATAGCATTGTTTGTGTGTTTATATTGTTTTGTTTGCACCTTATTGTGCTGCAGTCGGAAAATGCACTTCCTCTTTGAGTCTGTAGTCTTTCAGTGTGTTCCTACGCATGTGATCTCTTTCAGGGTCTGCTGAAGTTTATTATTCCTCTTGGTGTGGTTTACTTTGCTGAGTATTTTATTAACCAGGGACTGGTGAGTGTTTTCTGTCACAGTCTTAGTTAAAAGTCATTAAGGGTGCTTTCACACTAGCACTTTTGGTGCGCACCCGGGTTCGATTGACTCGGGTGCGCACCCGCGAACTGTACCTAAGTCCGCTTAAAAAGGGTGGTCTGGGGTACGGTTCAAGTGAACTCCGGTACTTTTCACTGCTGATGTGAACGCAATCGTACCAAATCACGGAAGTGAACCGCTATTAATGACGTATTATTTGATAAAAATGTGTGTTTGTGTGTGTTTCACTCACTTTCTTGACGAGCGTGACTGACACGCTGCAAGCAGAGAGCTGTATATCTCATTTCTGTTCACCTTCAGAGTACTCTAGAGCATTTGCAGTACATTCGAAAGGCAGACATAAGTGCCGTTATGTACTGAAGCTTTGGAAACAAACCAACGGTTCAAAAGCATAAATATAAAATTGAAGAGAGCCTTGCTACGCATTTTGCCATCTTCTCCTGCGCCATTGTTACTAAGCAACGGGGTAAAGAGCTGCTGGCTTGATGACGCAAACGAACCGCGGTTCGGATCCAAATAATATAATGTGAACACTGTCCAGCGGGGGCAGGGGGAGGGGGGAGCAGTCGAACTCGGATTTAGACCAAGCAATCGAACCGAGTGTGAAAGCACCCTAAGAACGAGACCGCAATAGAACAATCTGTGATCACTGACACTGAATATCAATATCTATCCATCCATCTCTCCAAAATCAGTTGGAGCTGCTCTACTTCTCTGACTCCCGTCTCTCACATGCAGAACAGTACCGCTGGTAAGACACATCACTTCCTGACTTCGTGTTTTTGAATGACACTACCTTTAAAAATGTTGTGTTCAGTAGGATTCGTAAGTATTTTATGCTTCCCAAAGCTTAAAAAAAATAAACGTTTGATAGGCAGTGTATATTTTTTTCCAGAGGTTCCTGTTCAATCAAAAGTCCATCTGAAGATTGAAAGAAGTTTTAAGAACTGACGAGAACTGGCTCTTTACGTATTAATTTTTAAACCCTACTTTAGTTTTACAGAGGAGTTAAAAGAAAAATAAATCATCCACAACTACACAAGACAGAAATCATAAAATATAGATACATACAGATTGTTAAACTAAATAAACAATTATTAAAATGATAAAATAAGGTACAATTCTGCAGTTGTGGCTTAGGAATATAGCCATTATACATAGTCTCTGAGGAAAAAAAAAAAGTTTGATAGTGCAGGAGAAGATGTTTAGTCTAGGTTGGATAATAAAACATGTTTTTAACATATTTCTTACAGAGACCCCAAGACTGGTTATTTTTTCACTTTTTTTAAAGGGAAGTTCTATCGTCATTTTCTCAACCTCATGTCATTTCAAACCTTTCTGACTTTCAGTCTTCTGTGGAACATTGAAGAAGACATTTTGAAGAATGTTGGAAGCCAAACCGTTTTAGTGGCCATTGACTTTCATTGTATGGACAAGAAAAAAAACACAGAGACATTTATTCAAATATTTTAGGTTTTATAATGTCTATTAGGTTTGAATGAGTGACTGAGTGACTTGACTTGAAAAAAAAAAAATCTGATAAGGTTGAGCAAATGATGACAGATTTTTTTTCTTTTTTTTTTCTCGGGGTGAACATCCCAAATCCACTTGGTAAAAGTTGTAGTCTTGGGATTCTTCACCATAACAATATCAGTTGTGCTTCATTGTCTCCTCTGCAGGTATCAAACACTTTACCAGATTGGTGTGTTTGCTTCCCGCACGTCTCTTGTCTGTTTTAAGATTAGGAAAATTTTCCTTATGTCTCTCTTACAGGTGAGATCTTAGGCTGAACCACAAGACAGTACATAAACTAATACATGCATTTACATTTACATTTACATTTAGTCATTTAGCAGACGCTTTTATCCAAAGCAACTTACAAATGAGGACAATAGAAGCAATCCAAATCAACAAAAGAGCAATGGTACTTAAGTGCTATAACAAGTCTCAGTTAGCTTAACGCAGTACACGAAGAGAGTTTTTTTTTTAAATCATATAATAAATAAAAAGAAAATGCATAGAATAGAAAAAGAATAGAGCAAGCTAGTGTTAGAGGCATTTTTTGCTTTTGTTAATTGTATAATAAATAAATAAAAAGAAAAGAAATACATAGAATACAAAAAGAATAGAGAAGCTATGCATATGAAACGGTAAACATCACACACTAGTAAAGGACTCTTCATGACCTGGATTACTCTTTCTCTCTCAGTGTTTGAATGCTGTTCTGTTGGGTTTCGCTGTATACTACCAGTTCTTGCCAAACCCATGGGTGGTTTTTGTTATTGTCCTCTATGAGGGTCTGTTGGGAGGAGCAGCCTACGTAAATACCTTCTATTTCATCCGCGAGGAGGTGCGTGAACCTCATTCAAGATATTCGTTCATTTGATATAGATCAGCATGTATCAGTCAGAGGTCTCTAATGCATTGTCTTATGCTGTGTTTTTTGACAGACCGCTAAGCGCGAGAGAGAGTTTGCCATGGCTGCAGCAAGCGTAGGCGACAGTCTGGGAATCGCTCTTTCTGCAGCTGCCGCCTTCCCCGTTTACCATTATTTCTGCTCTTTATGAGCAAATGAGAATGTGTGTTTGTACAAGATAAAGACATTGTTGTGTTTTTAAAATAGTTAATACATTCCGTTTGGACTAATATGTTCTGATTTAAATGAATAATGGTTTGATTGATCTGACTGACATTTGACCTACTGACACCCTGCTCTAACACAATGTGTTTTAACCCAAAACAAAACCCAAATTTGAATAAATTATGCTTTAATTTGTCAGGTTTGATCTTCTTTGTAACTCAAAATCCTGGAATCAAGTGTGTAATGCTTCCTGAAATGATTCTTGCTCAGTATTAAAATATTTGTCTTAAGTTTCTTGTGTGTGGCTTTCATGAGCCCTATTGGAAAATCACTATCTAGCTCCTGAAATGTTGCTGCCTCCATTTATAAAGCAGTTTCAGTTCTCTTTTTGTGGCTAATGGGGACAGTTGCAACCCTTGGTTTTGCAATTGAACTTATTTAGCAAACAGACAGCAAGAGCATGTTGCTTTCTTGAGATTCATTGCTTTCATTTCCCATTCCCTGCAGGTTTCGCATGAGTATATACCTTAATCCACAGTTATTTACATTTGAAATTCTCCAGATATAGAGGCACCTTCTCAATATGGGTAAAGAAACTGAGTGTGCAGACTGTTTCAATTCAACTTCATGAACCAATTGAACAATGGAAATGTATTATAATCTGGCACTAGATGGTAGTACAGAGTTGTCTTTAAAAAGCAGGAGTGAGGGAGATAAAATGCAATGTAGAAGCTGGCTTTTAGGTGTTGGTGTGTGGCTCACTCTGATTCATTGCATCTGTACAATGGCTCCATTTTCCCACAGGGAATAATATAAAGGAAATACAAGAATAAGTAAGTAAATAAATCCACTTAAGTGACTATGCTTCCTAACACGCCTAAGTCTACTTTTAAAAAGTGCACTTTATAATAATGTCTAATCAAAAGTTTTAATGTAAAGTACATTTTAAATAATTTTGTCGCGCTAGTACGCTTATTTTGATGTGGTGACTAACACACCAAAGTACATGTAAATATGCGTTATTCGATAATACATTTAAAATAAATATATTTTAAATGCACTAAATTTACACTTCATCATTAAAAATGTGTAATTACAATTTGAGAAAGTTCATGCGGCAATTTTAACCAGATTTCAAAGGCAATAGAAGTAATTATGATATTACACAAAACTTAAAAACGCACTCGAAAGAACTGCATAATACATTTAATGTAATTTAATAAATTTTTATCAAATTGCAATTAACGTGCAGTTAAGTGGCTGACAACATTGCATTCGGTTCTCACTTAACTGAATTATTTTAAAATATATTATTTCTGTTACTCTTTACAGAAGTATGCTAAAGTGTACTTCTTTTTCACAAAGCCTGGACTTTTATTTTGAAAAGCTGTGCGTCTGGCAGCCGTCCTGGCTATTTCTCGAGGGTAGCAGATTCACATTGTTGCAAGTGATATACAGTAAACCCCTGCGAAGGGATCGATTAAAAGATCAAACTGGTGAGGTTTGGCAATATTTTTAGTTTAGGAAATCAACCCCACAAGGCCAATTATTTAACGCTGATATGAATGTAACTGTATTTATCGTTTCCATTTTAATGGCATAAAGGTCTAGTTAGCTTAGCAGCAATACAAATGTAATGGGTGAACTTTTTAGCATAATGTGTGTTTTCTGCTTACATTTGGCCATTCACGTGACAGTTTACCCCCAGTCATGTTTTCTGTGAGCCCTCGATGTGCTGTGGATCTGGAGTTATTAATTCATGCTGTGTTTGTCATGACAGACTGGTTAAGTGCACCAGTCACGAATCGTGATTCACGATCGCGCAGACTCAGAAGTCACTTTAATGCTGTTGCAGTTGTGTGTCTGCAGCAATTAGTCATCATGTCTGTCTGCACTTGACCACATTTCTCATCGAGTCTTGGTTGGTTCTTGTGTGTGTGTGTGTGTGTGTGTGTGTGTGTGTGTGTGTGTGTGTGTGTGTGTGTAAACATGCCATCTTCCCTTTGTTCTTGCAGGAAGTGTCTGGTGTTAAACTAATAGTGTGCCTGTGGTCCTGTTAATAGGAAGGGCTCAGCAGTGCCTGGGTGCCCAGGGAGCCACTGCCTGAGTCCCTAGAGGTAGACACCAAACCACAGGACATGAGTGCCACCAAAGGAGGTCTGGTGATCTTCACGGCCAACTCCAACCCCTCCAGCAGAGAGCTGGGGAGGAGGATAGCCGAGTAAGTTGCCGCTGGAGCTCCAGTATAACATGCCAGTTATATTGGGTAGTTAGGAAAGAGTGGAAAGACGTTCATTGTCAAACTGAGCAAATCTGAGCTAGAACAACTGTATTCTTTTGAGTGCTAGGTAACAACAAATCAAGTAAGTGCAAGTACACTACCATATCAAATGATGAAGTTTTTAACGGACTTTACTTTCTTGTCATGTAAATCGCCGTGTTTTTAAGGCTGACATGACGTAAAAAAAACAAAATTAATTTCAATTAATATTATTTTTTATTTAAAAAAAAAAGTACAATGGTAACAAATTAATTTAAATAAATAATATAAATATTTGTTAACATAACTAGGCTTTGTTTGCTTTATGTAAATTACATTTCTTATTGTTGTATTTTGACTTTGTGGTGAAATGTGTGATTTGGGACAACTGACATTTACACCTTGTAATATGTGTGTCAAATAATAACATTTCTCTTGTGTGTTTAAGCTGTTATATTGCATCATATTCCCTTGAACTTATATTCTTGTGCAGGCGGTTGGGTGTGGAACTTGGAAAGGTGCAGGTCTATCAAGAAGCTAACAGAGGTGAAGGCCTGTTTTCGTCTCAACTTTCCATTAAATATCTGCATATCTTTTAATCTTCACTAGCGATGGCTGTGGCCACTGCTGAAGTGGTTGTTCATTCTTTGCATGCCATGCTGGAGAGAGTAGACAAAACAGATCAGCGGTCTGAGCTTCTGTTGACTAATTAAACTGACAGTCTTTGTTTTGGGTCATGCTTGTGTATTCTGAAATGGAGATACGCTTGCACTCCCACATGCAGACACTGTGCTGGAATTCTCCCAGCATTCCTTGCACCATTAAAGGGATAGTTCACCTTAAGTTGCTGGTCCCTATTGACTTGCAAAGTGTTTTTTCCCCTCATAACTATGGAAGTCAATGGGAACCAGTTACTGAAGTTGAACTATCCCTTTAAGTCCTTGTGCAAACTTTTAAAAAGCCAGTCTGTTCTGTAAAGTTAAATGTTTACTGTGGACCAGACTAAAAATGAAAGTAATATTTCTTTTCCCACAGAAACACGGGTCCAAATCGAAGAGTCTGTGCGCGGCAAAGATGTTTTCATCATCCAAACTGTTTCCAAGTAAGAAGCCTTAAAGAGATACTCTATCTCAAAAGGAAAATTGTTTTGTTTACTCACCCTCATGCCAACCTAGGTATATATGACTGACTTTCTTCAAATGAACACAAATGAAGATTTTTAGAAGAATAAGTCCATATAATGCAAGTGTATGGGTCCACCAAAAGTTAAAGGGGTCATATGACATTGCTAAAAATAACATTATTTTGTGTGTTTGGTGTAATTCAATGTGTTTACGTGGTTTAAGGTTAGAAATTTTTTTTTCCACATACTGTACATTATTGTTGCTCCTTTCTGCCCTTCCTTTCTGAAATGCATAAATTTTTACAAAGCTCATCGTTCTGGAAAGTGAGGTGTACGATGATTGGCCAGCTATCCAGTGCATTGTGATTCGCCGAATACCTCAAGCGTGTGACTGAAATGTTACGCCCCTTACCATATTTGGAAATGCAGCGTCTCTACGACATGGTGGCGGCGGCAACAATAGAGACCGAGCGACACGCGTCATAATCTGAAAACCACGCCCAAACAATTCAACGCTCTCCATTGACTTTGTATTGCGGGAAGCTGCCTCCTTGTCATTTCTGACTTGTAACAAAAAAACAGAACAATGTCTAAAAGCTGCTGTGTGACAAGGTGTACAGCAAACAAGCTAAAAAAAACAGAACTACGTTTTTATAAGCTGTCGACCCAAAAAACAAGAGTTTAAGGACACAAAAGTAAGAGCACAACGTGTCATATTACTCTGAGAACTGCGTCCACTGGAGGGAAACGGAATCGGCGACAGGAAACATTCATTATTTTTAACATGTCAAAGGATTATTTCACCACCCTGTGTTAACCTGAGAGGAGGAGATATATTGGGAAACTACATTTTATTGGTCTATTTCAGTGCCCCTTTTCCTTACCTTCCTTTTGTTTGAGAAATGATCCAACTATTTTTGTCCTTAAACGCTCGTTTGTTTTGGGTCGACAGCTTATGAAAACATAGTTCTGGGTTTTTTAGCTTGTTTGCTGTACAGCTTGTTTGCTGTACACCTTGTCACACAGCAGCTTTTAGACATTGTTCTGTTTTTTTGTAATAAGTCAGAAATGACAAGGAGGCAGATTCCCGCAATACAAAGTCAATGGAGAGCATTGGATTGTTTTCCCCCCAGTGTGGGCGTGGCCTAAATGCGCTCTGTCTCTATACTACAGCGAGAATCAAAGTTACGCCTTCTTTCTTTGTGTGAACATTTGGGCGGCATTATGCAAATCTTCCCACACAGTGACGTAGATATGTGGGGGCGTGTTAGAACGAGCCGTTATAGGAAGGCGTGGACAAGTCTTAACTTTTATAAAGAATAACTCTTTGGGTTTGAGACTAGTCTTTGCGACTTCATGGAATTTATATATGCACAAACAGCTTGTAACACTCAAAAGACAAAGGAAAACTTGTAATCGCATCATATGACACCTTTAATGCTTCAAAAACACACAAAGAGAACACCGTGCTAAACCATACATTAAGTCGTGAACTCATATGACAGCCAAAAAGCAATAACTTACAGTTAAAAGTTTAAAATATTAGTGTTTTTCTTACAAACACCTGTCATTTCGCTTCACAAGACATTGATTCATCAACTGAGTCGTATGGATTACCGATGTCTTTGAAGCATCAACTTTGGCCGTCCCATAGACTGGCATTATATGGGCTCATAGAGATGGATTATTTTTCTGAAAATCTTTGTTTGTGTTCACCTGAAGAAAGTAAGTCACATATTGTGATGTAAGAGCACTTCAATTCATAAATAAGACAAAACAAATAACAGTAACAGTGTAATTTAGATTTATATTC